CCAAAACACGTAAAAACTCCATAGCACGTAAAAACTCCATAGCACGTACAAACTCCGAAGCACATACAAAACACAACAGAAGTGCTCCATGATGCTAGGCGCAGTGTTGAGCTTTTGTTACCTAGTGGCTACACAAGCCAGGAAGTACCAACGACTGGATTTGGTGTGTGGTAGTAACAGGTAAATGAAAAGGTTTTGAATTATTTGAATATATATGAGTGCTTGTGTATAAATACACAAACAATACACATATGCTTTCAATTGTGCAATTTAAGTGATCTAGGTAGCTCTGTTTTGGAAGTTCAGTTAACGCTAGAAATGTGTTTTGGAGTTTGTACGTGCTTTGGGATTTGTACGTGCTTTGTTTCAAGGGGCCACCGTATATATTTATTTATAAGCATATACAAATAAAACCACATTTTTTTTTACATTACTAATTCCTTTTCTGCATAATTTTATATTGTTGTTAATAATAAATTAAAGCAACAAAACAATCTGAAGAGCCGCTTGGGACCCGAAAGAGCCGGCTCTTCTTAGTGAGCCGAGCCGAAAGAGCCGGTTCTCTAAAAAGAGCTGGAAATCCCATCACTACCTCCAACTGTTGTGGAGGTCATCGATTTGTCATCACACTACTGGGTTTCAGCACCACTAGCACTAAGGAATAATGGTGACTGCTTATTTTATTGTACACTCAACCCCTCCCCTGCAGCTGAGATTTCATTGAAGATATACATGGAGAATCAGCTGAATTCAGGTCTGATTCACTGGCATTTATGGCATTAAAATTAAAATGTGCAAGCATAGTGACAAGAAGATCTCTAGAGTGAATTCAACATAACTGAATGCTGCACTTGGCAGGATATTTGAGCCACAGTTGTGAAAACTGCTAATTATTTATAGTCGTAGTCCCAAAATATATCAAACACTCTCTCGTGTGTGGCCAGAACATTGGTTGCGATACAGATTTGTTACTTACAATCTTAATGTCACCACCCCACAACATAAACAGGATTTAGTCAATCCAAAAGCAATCCGTGTCATGCTCGTCTTTTTACCCCTTCTGCTGTGATTATCGGGGATCCCATAATTTGAAATATTGGTTTCGCTAATGTGGTCACATGTTGTTTTGCTTTTTTCTCTCACACTTCTGAATTGCCTATGTTTAAGCTCAACCTTGACATTACTGTTTGCTTTCTAATTATTTATCACCCTTTTAAAGGGGTGAATTGAAATTTTTAGAAAAAAGTGGAAATTTATGATTTTGTTTTATTTTATGTACTTGTTGGTTTTGTTTGTTTTTGTTGGTATGTAATTTTAATACAGTCATGTTGACTAGATTGAAAACCGTTACATAGCTCAATTTAGTCAAGTTTAACAGTACAGGAACTGTTGATCTCAGAAAGAACATAACCATTGATCTCAATAACTTTGTGAATAAATAGAATCATTGAGATTTTATTTCAATGTAAAGATGTAATTGGGCTTTACATTACTTTAATAAAGACCAGAATATATATTTTAATTTTGTTTTCGTCTCAGTGGAACAGTATACAGTCTCTGATTGATAATGACAGGCAAATCATTTTTTACAGGTGCCTCCTTTCCAGGATATAAACTACAGAGAACTGCATCCTACACTGAAACTCAATGAGATCGAAACCAGTGTAAGAGTTTCGCATTCACACCCAAATGATGTGCTTTTTATTTTTTTATACAGTGCATGGTGAGAAGTATGTGAGCACTCATTTCCCCATGTTTGTATGTCCTGTAGACTAGGAACCTAATCTCAACCTTACAGTCCACAATAATCTCCAAAAGTTGATTCTGTTCATCTGGATGTAGCGTTTTTGAAAACGCTACGTCCAGATGAACAGAATCAACTTTTGGAGATTTACTTTCCTGGATGATTGAGAATGCATCAAGAAGTCCACAATAATATATTTACAATATAGTTTTCCTAGTTTTTGCATGAGGGTGAACATTGTCAGCAAAACAATAAAAAATATAATTACAGTAACCCTATTTATTAAATGTCTGAAATCAGTTGCTACTCAGTTTAGTGGTTGAAACTAGAAGGGGTAGCAGATTAAGAGTCACATATTGCATACAAATGTGACGTTTTTGTGCACATATATACTATGCTGTATATTTTTTACTGACATATACACACTGCTGTCCTGTCTTTGTTTTATATTTCCTTCCTGGTGTCTCTCAAATTCACAAAATAACCACTCCTTGTTACACAGAAGCTCTTGGGGCGATTATGTGAGCAGAACCAGATTTTGAAAGACCATGAGGCAGTTGTCCACAGACTGAGAATGAATAAGGTACACAATTTTCCTCGGAAATCTGACATTTTATTGTGAAATTCTTAAGAAACGCTTCGTCCTGTGAAGATGGCCAAATTTAGGGTATTAGTATAAAACTATGAAATCACTGGAGTTTTTTAATAGCTACTGAACACAGCAATGTACTACTGTCATGGTAAAGGAAACCCATAAAGCCTTATTTGTCCTAACCATATTTGAAGATAATATACTTTATATATCAGAGGAAAGCAGTTTAACTCAGTACATTAGAACAACCTAGCTATTAATACAACCTTACCTTTAGTCAACACTTAATTTGTGGTGACTTCAAGCTGTATTTTGTGGTGTTGTTGTACGGGACCTCTTTACACTGAAAGTTGTTTTGTTTTTCACCACCCTGGCCTCTTTTTTCATTACAGTCAGCACGACTTTGAAACAAATGTATTTCAACTGGAGGAATGTCTCGTGCCTATGTGGATTCTGAGGGGATGCGTCGCTCTGGCAAGCTTTGAAAAAAGTGTTATCTGTTGTGTTTTAACCCAAAGCATGATTTTTTTCTAACCCTAACCAAGTAGTTTTACTCCCTGCGGTGAGGCTGAATTGTTCCAATACAACAACCCCACTAACTACAGCACAATTAATGACCACAGAGTTGAATCAACGTCTTCTGACTCTTGCGTTAAATTAGTGCACAATGTAGTGTTTCTTCTGGTCAGTTAGCATGTATCGTAGCTAATAATTTCACTCATTTATTTATGTGAAACCATTATAACCTTACATCCGAATATTTAGATGAAATGTGTATGTTCTCTTAAATAGATCAACAGGGATGTTGCAGTGCACTGTCTATTTACTAAATAAGCAGAAAAACTAATTTTCAACAAAACACTTGCTGTTACCAGGACAGCCTAGAGGAAGCACTGTTGGCTACTCATCAGGAAATGGAGATATACCATAACCAGCCTTTAATCATGGAAAAGCTGCAGTTCAAAAAGGAAACCCAGCAGAACCAGCTGATTAACATCAGAGGGGAGCTCTCCCAGGCCTCCAGTGTGAGTTCAGTAACTTGTCTGTATTTCAAAAAATGCACAGCTCCACGTGATTGTGCAATGTACATCTGCTCATTAAATGTTCTATTTGTTATATGTCTAAATCAAACAGTCTGAATATCGCTGACAGTATAAATAATACTATTTTTATTTTTTTTTGTATGTCTCTCAGGCTTTAACAACTGCTTGCATGGAGTTTGAAGCATTAGAGGATGAGGCCAATGCCATCCATGGAGACCTGTGGGAGCAGCTTAATGCTGGAGGACAGGTAAAAGGTCACAATGTAATATAATACATATATTATTAATATTATTATTAATATAAAGCGCCTCGAGGCGACTTTTGTTGTGATTTGGCGCTATATAAATAAAATTTAATTGAAATTGAATTGAACAATATCATCATATCTGTAATCCCCCCCCCCCCTTTTTAATTAATCATTATTTTTAGGTTATTTTACAGTAAGAGATTATCTAGTCATAATTATTCAGCCAGCCACCACCATCTACTTTTTTTTATTTGTAGTAACTGTCATTTTTTCTTTATTTGTCTGTTTTGAATGATTTTTAATGATGACAACAAAACAAAAAACGAAAACAAGACAGCAGAGGTTTTGATGTGATATAAGTTAATCTAAAAATCTGATTAAATATTTTTACAGCAACTGGCTATTATAGGGTTTTTGCAACCTTAGGTCAAAGGAGGTTGGCTGGCTACATTCTGTTGATTTGTGTCAAAGTGACACTGGAAAACAATTTTAAATATTAAGCTTGTGTGAATTAAAGATAAGTAATTCCAGAGGCTAATTTAACAAGTTTGTCACTGTGTGGAAAAAATGAGATTAAATTGAAAAAAGCCAGATATGCAGGATATGCACATTTTGTGATTAATTTGGAACGTTTAAATTAAGCAAAGTGAGCCTGCTTTTTCTGCCAGTTTCTAATTATTAACTAAACAACGTTGTATTGACTCTCTCAATTGATAAAAATCCAGTAATATCAACACCTAAACCTAAATCTCACTTTAAAACAGAGTCCGCTGCTCACCAGTCCTACAAGCACTTGCAGCCCATTTGTTCATTGTAATTTCTGACACTGATTTCCTAATCTAATCTCTTTATGTTACCGGCCCCTCCTTTACCTTCCCTGGGTGCACCTTGTGGAACAGAGTTTAGTGGGGGAGAAGTGGTTGATAAAGATGAACAAACACAAAAAGGTGGAGCCAAGGCTGGATTGGGACAAAAAATCGGCCCGGGCATTTTGACTAGAGACCGGCCCACCAGGATAAAGATTGAAAATGTGACGTCATTCAGGGGTAAAACCGCAAAGGATTCTGGGAACTTGTGGCAAGAGGTACTAGCGCACGCAGGCTTTCAATTGAACTCAGTTACACAGCGATAAAAATAAACCCAAAAAATGGCAAGAAGCTGTTGTATTATTAACTTCAATAGCCGGTCGCATGACAGCCACGGGAAGCCGACGGGTAAAGAGATCGTTTTTTTTTTTTAAATCGGATTACGTCGTTGAAGAGAAATTTTTTAAGCCATGTTTCCGAAGTAAGAGCCGACGGATGGTCTGGATATACCAAATATAACGTCCCAGAACACTCCAGCTCACATGTTAGTCTGCTCCAAGCATTCCCACAAAGGTCAGAGTTTTGTAGTAGTTAAGACGTCATTTTTCTTAACATAATTGGTGATATAGGTTACAAGCAAGTCTGGCGCTGAACAGAAATTGTCGCGCTATGCTTCTTTGTTTATTGTGTATAAATAGTAAATTGTCCTGACACAATATTGCGTTTCGCTTCTGTTATTACCATGGTACACTGACAAAAACATATACTTTTATTCACAGGATAAAACAGTTGTTTTGTATCACTAATTGTCCAGTACGATTACAACATACAATATTATTGTCACTGCTACATTTCTGTAATGAACCAGAAATTATTTCCACTACTAATAAATTACCATTGAGCTCAAAGGTTATATTAATAAACGGTTAACGAATGTGTATTTATGACGACGATTTGTGAGACTGGTAAACTTACCTTTGTTCGTACGATGGTCTTTACTTTCTACACGGTGCATTTCAAGGTCCTGTACCCATCCGTCGGTAAACTGTACCTGGGCTTGTTGCAGTGACCTGAAGTTACGAAACTTCATGAGTGTATGCACTCACTCCAAGAACCGTGTAATTATAAATATGAGCGTGGTGAAAGTTGGGCAGCACGCTAACGTCTTTTGTCCACTCTGTGTGCTCGTAAGGGTCTGACCCTTTCACTCCTTTGATTTTTTCCTCGTATCTTTTCTTTGTCTTTTCGTCGAGTCTGTCTTTGTACGGACCGGCATTGTTCTCCTTTTGTTTTGTACATTCCTTTTTTGTGCGGCAAAGAAAACCAAGAAGGTATTGGAACCGGAGAATGAACGTTTTGCGGTGCTGCAAATGCTTGCATTTGATGCGGTACTTGGATTGTTTTGCCACGAGTTCCCGGCATGCAATTTGCGAAAATCACGTGATTGCTAAACAAGGGGGAGGGTGCATCCGGCCTCCTCGGCTGTAATTGGTCCAGCCCAGAGTCGATCATGACCAATTAGCCAATCCAACACCTTTCATTATATATACCCAAGAAGTGCCAGAGAATGGATAATTGAATTTTCAATTTAATTCAATTTTATTTATACAGCAACAAATCACAACAACAGTGGCCTCACGGCACTTTATATTGTAAGGTAGACCCTACAATAATACATACAGAGAAAAAAACAAAAACAATCATATGACCCCCTATGAGCAAGGACTTTGGTGACAGTGGGAAGGAAAAACTCCCTTTTAACAGGAAGACACCTCCGGCAGAACCAGGCTCAGGGAGGGGCGGGGCCATCTGCTGCGACCAGTTGGGGTGAGAGAAGGAAGACCGGATAAAGACATGCTGCGGAAGAGAGACAGAGATAAATAACGAGTATGATTCAGTGCAGAGAGGTCTATTAACACATAGTGAATGAAGAACAAACACCCAATGCATCATGGGAATCCCCCAGCAGCCTACACTGATTGCAGCATAACTAAGGGAGGATTCAGGGTCACCTGGTCCAGCCCTAACTATATGCTTTAGCAAAAAGGAAAGTTTGAAGCCTAATCTTGAAAGTAGAGATAGTGTCTGTCTCCTGAATCCAAACTGGAAGCTGGTTCCACAGAAGAGGGGCCTGAAAACTGAAGGCTCTGCCTCCCATTCTACTTTTAAATACTCTAGGAACAACAAGTAGGCCTGCAGAGCGAGAGCGAAGTGCTCTAATAGGGTGATATGGTACTACAAGGTTATTAAGATAAGATGGGGCCTGATTATTTAAGACCTTGTATGTGAGGAGCACAATTTTGAATTCTGGATTAGCAGTCCCAACAACAGAGTGAGGATGAGATGGAAGAAGGTATAATTGTCATGGTCAGAAAATAGATGGTGGGATGTAATTAGAGCAGGAGATTCCAGCAAAAAGTGAACTACTTTGTCAATAAGCGACTGCTAATAGCTAAAGATTAGCTTTTAATTGTGACATGTTGCACTGTAGTGTAACTAAGGTCCCAACCCAACAACAACTGTACAAACCTGATTAAAACAGAGGGAGAGGCAGAAAATATGTGCACAGGAGGAGATTAGGGCAAAGTGGACACACAGAAGGACTGGAGTACCATGACAAGTAAGCCAGCAGTCTAAGAACAAAGTGGTAGACTATCAGGTTTTTAAGATAAGATGGGAAGCATGTATAATTTAAATAGAACATATCCTTGCACATAAGCCTGTGAACTCTGTAATTAACCTCATTGTATGAAGAGGACTCCACATTAATATGAACAAATTTGAGTATATCAGATAGATATGATTCAAACCATTGCAGCACAGTACCTTTTAATACCTGTGACATGCTCTGTAATAAAACGCAATGATCAACAGTATCTAAAGCTGCACTGAGGTCAAGTAAAACATGCACACGGTAAGTCCACTGTCAGAGGCCATAAGAAGATCATTGTGATCTTCAGTAATCATGTTTCTGCCTTTTTGAAGCTCTTCAAATAAATAGTTCCTCTGCAGATGATCAGTTAGCTGTTTTATGACTGCTATTTCAAGAATTTTTCAGATAAAAGGATAGTTAGAGAATGTCTTTAATTAGCTAAGACAGTTGAGTAAAGTGATGGCTTTTTAAGTAATGGTTTAATCACTGCCACCTTAAAGGCCTGTGGTATGCAGCCCAGTAATAGGGACTGATTGAGCGCCTTTATATGATTAAAGCATTAATTTATGGTAGTATTTCTTTGAGCAGTCAGATGTTATGAATAAATAATTCTCTAATGGTTAAAAATCTTTGTGTAATGAAATTCATAAAGTTGTTACTGGTTAAGGTTAAAGGAATGCTTGGCTTAACAGAGCTATGACTCTGAAAATAAACCTCTTATTTTCTTAAGTCAGTGACTTAGTGAGCTTTATGGAGGAGCAAACTCTTTCCAGCCTAAACGATCATCTTCTAAACTAGTGAGATGCCATTCCTCTCCAGCTCATAAAATGCGCCTTTGAGAGTTATTTTAGGGAGTCGAGCCTGATTTGAGTCTTCTTTCCGAAGACCCATATTATCCAGAGTTGAATGCCATTGGGATGTTTCATGTCTGCTGTAGCTGATGGCGTGGAGTGGAGTGTGTGGACCCAAAGGCAGATAAATGGAGACAGAAATGGAGCAAACAAAAAGAGAGCCGTTTATTTCTGGCTGAACAAAAAAACAAACAGTCATGGGGAGACTGAGAAAAATTATCAAAACTAAACAGGGCAACGCTAAACAAAAAACACAAGATATATATCGAGAAAAGTACAAAGACCTATTATCCATTACTTCTACGTAATCTTTGTGTAATCAAAGTAAAAATATGTCATGTTATCTAATTTTTACTGCACTACAAACTTTTTAAACAACATTTAGAAAAAACAAAGAAAACAAAATGAGTATATTACAAATACTAGTGCATGCGAAGTAAGTACTCAGAATGATATTCTCTGCTATCTTAGTGGAGGTCTGCTATCATATATTTTATATATATCTAATCCTTTAATGATTCCATAACAACAGATTTTGTTTGTTTTTTCCTCTTTTTTTGTTAAAATGAAACAAAAAAAAATGCCAGCAATTTCGATGACATGCAGTTATTTTTTTCCATCCATCCATCTTCATCCGCTTTATCCGGGGCCAGGTCGCGGGGGCAGCAGCCTAAGCAAAGAGGCCCAGACCTCCCTCTCCCCAGCCACCTCCTCCAGCTTATCCGGGGGAACACCAATTCCACATTTTTTCCACATAACTGAAATTAATAAATGGACCTGACTGTTATTAGTATTAGGGTCTAATTTCTGCTATTTTTCCTTGTCATTTCTTTTTAGAGTGAATTAGTTCGGCGGCACATCCAAAAAGAGTTTTGGAGAGTCCAGGATGTATTAGAAGGTCTACAAAAGAACAGCTTATCCAGAGGCATAAAAACAGCCAAGGGTAGAGGTAAAAGAAACTAAACTAATCTTGAACATAATGGCCTGTGTTTCTACCTTCTATCTAATGGCCTTTTCCTGACACTTTAAGTTTGTTTCTCTTTTCAGTTGACAGTGGTGCATCAGGGTCCTTTACCACCAATAGTCCAGCAAGCCCACTGAGCTCAGTAAGCCTTACCAGTCCGCTGAGCCCCTACTCCCCAGTGCCTGTTTGCCAGGCTTCTCCAACCAAGGAGTTGGGTCTGAAGGTAAGCACTTAATCCTAAATTGCATAGAAGAGGAAATTCTAAATGTCCCAAGCCATGCCTTGTGCCTAATTTCAAACCTGACAAAATGCCAAACCATGGACCCCAAAGTTATAGGGAAGCTGACCCAGCGTCGTATGCAGAACATATAAATTATTATGGTTGTGAAAACTGTGAGCATACTTTTCATAGATTACTCTAGCTTTCTAGAACCTCAGGGAGTCCTTAAGGACATTAAACCCTGTAGAGGAGGAAATAGATCAAAAAGGGACTAACTAAGCTATAAACCCAGGAAAGGCCAGAGAACAGACCAGTTTTCTTGGTGTACAATGCCAATATTCTGAATATACCAATCAGCACTCAGATGCAATCCATATCCATTCTGATACTCGAGAGATTAATTAGTTAACCTTCGAAGGTTGCAGAAATGAAGCCAAGCTTGTCCTCAGAAAACATGTCGTAACATGCTTACATCTGGATCATTGTTAGTTTTCCCATGATTACTGGGGTGTTTCCTAACATCGGGCTCATTCAGTAAGTGTTTAAGTAAATAGTTCATTACATCAGTGTGCATTTAAAAAAACACAGGTATGACATTTTTATTCTTAATTAATAACTTAATATACAACCTGTTTGATGAAAGGTGTTTTCATAATTTCTAAATAATGGCTTCACTATTTCTAAATTTAAGAACAAATCATTTATTTATTAGCTGTTCATAGCATCATATTGCCATGCTATAGCTGTCCTGGCTGCCATGTTTTTTTTGCAATGTTCTGTGGAGGTCTGGAGTGGTGCCTTTAAAATGGGAGATTGGGGTAGTTGTTCCCATATTTAAGAAAGAGGACAAGAGATTATGCTCCAATTATAGGGGGATCACAGTGGGAAAGTCTATGCCAGGACTGGAGAGGGGAGTCCATCTGTTTGTTGAACCTTAGATTCAGGAGGAACAAAGCAGTTTCGTTCCTTGTCTTAGAACTCCTCTTTATCCACTCAAGGATATTCAAGGATGCACGTGAGTTTGCCCAACCAGTCTAAATGTCCAGCTTTGTCCAGCCACTGGTAGGATGTCAGCCACTTCCTCTATCTGTCGGTGGTACATACTGTGCAGGGGCCTGTCCTTCCATGATGGTTCCTCCTCTTTCTTGGGTTTCTGCTGCCTAAGATATTCACTGAGCACACAGTCAGTTGTGGCTGTCTTTTTGATGTACTCAAGGATTTTTGTTGTCTCATCATGGACTGTGGTACTGACACTCACCAGTCCCTGGCCTCCTTCCTTCCACTTAGCATACAGCCTCAGGGTGCTGGACTTGGAGTGAAACCCTCCAAGCATGGTCAGGAGCATCCTGGTCTTGATGTCAGGATCTTGTTCTTACCATTCAGCTGACTCTTCAAGACTTGCCTGACCTTCTGCAGGTACTTGGTGTTTGCATCTTTCCTAACGGGCTCCTCGTTGTTCCCATTTGCCTGTGGGATTCCCAGGTACCAGGTTCTCCAATCCGAACAACATTCCGATGTCATTGCTGTATATCCTGGTGGTGTGGATCAGTGAATCGGCATACAGCTTGATGTCATCCATGTAGAGGAGGTGGCTAACAACTGCTCAACTCCGTAGTCAGTATCCGTAGCCAGTCTTGTCAATGATTTCACTGAGGGGGTTCAGGCCTATGCAGAACAGCAGTGAGGACAGAGCATCTCCTTGGTAGATCCCGCACTTGATGCTGACTTGTGCTATGGACTTAAAGTTGACCTCTAGTGTTGTACGCCACATCCCCATTGAGTTCCTGGTGAAGGATCTTAGGGTCCTGTTGATCTTGTATAGGTCTAGGCATTCCAGGATACAGTTGTGGGGCATTAAGTCATAGGCCGTCTTGTAATCAATCCAGGTAGTGCACACGTTAGTCAGCCTCATCTTGCAGTCTGATGTGACTGGTCTGTCTCCCAGTAGCTGGTGTTTTGCGCCTCTGGTATTCTTGCCAATCCCTTTCTGTGCCCCGCTCATGTATTGAGCCATATGCCTGTTCATCTTAGCCACTATGATGACTGTCAGGTGGTACTGAGGCAGGTTATTGGCCGGATGGGACCGGTCCCTTCTGGGGATCAGGATTGCCTGGCCTTCAGTTAGCCATTCTGGGTGTCTCTCATCGACAAGCAGCTGGTTCATTTGTGCTGCCAGACGCTTGTGGAGTGCAGTCAGCTTCTTCATCCATTAGGTGTGAACCATGTCGGGGCCTGGTGCTGTCCAACTCTTCATACTGGAGACCCTTTCTTGGATGTCTGCCACTGTGATGGTTACTGGACCCTGTTCATGGAGGTTCCTGTGGTCTGCTTCTAGATCCACTAGCCACTGAGCATTGCTGTTATGAGTTGCATCCTTCTCATATATGTTCTTTCAGTATTTTCCAGTCTCCAGCTTTGTTGGTGCTGTTCTCATATTGTTCTCATACTGTTCCCCTGCCACTGAGAGTACACTTTGGATGGTTCTGCAGAGAACAGCTGGTTCATTCTCCTGCTTTCTATTTCTCTGGTGTACCTTGTCAAGTGGCTGGCCAAGGCTGTGAATCTTTGCTTGGCAGTTTCCAAGGCCTCCAGTATGGACAGCTTGCTGTACGTCTTAGGCACCTTCTTCATTGCACCTCTCTGCAGCTCTGATACTTGATCCCCCTGACATGTTGTCCAGGCTCCCCCTTGCCATAACATTTGTTTTGTACCTTGTCAATCTCTAGCTGTGAGAGCAGTTCCTTCTTCTGAATGTTGAAATACTGAGCTCCTAGCTGTTTCGATATCAACAGCGCCCTATTTTCTTCTCTTTCCCACTTATGCCATCTTGTTCCAGTAGCCCCCTTCTCATCAAGGTGTCCTGGTTTCTCAACACCTGACGTGCACCTTGTTTTGTGTGTGTGTGTGTGTGTGTGTGTGTGTGTGTGTGTGTGTGTGTGTGTGTGTGTGTGTGTGCAAAGCACTGGGTCAAGGACAATGACAAATATTCAGGCTTGAATTCCAGTTTCCCTGTCAATAAAATAAAGAACAAAGTCAAAGCCAAATTATTTTAGATTAATTTCAAATTGTTTCCTAATTATTTTAGTATCAACATCAACTTCAACTGAACAACTAAAGTTCTGAACAACTTAAGAAGAGGTAAATAAGAAGAAGAGATAAAGTATTTAAAAAAATCCTGTCCTATCCGAATTGTGATCTGAATGCATTATGGTGCCAAACACATTTTGCTATTGCACGAACAGCTAGAGTGTCTATGGGTCCATCCTCTTCATGTGAATCTTTAATCTATTTATTTATTCATTTTAATTTGTTTTATTTCAGCTATTACATTGTATTATGATGTATACAGCAAGACAGGCAAGAGAAATAAACAAAAATAAAACCAACCAAAAAGGAGGAGGTGGGGGATAGAATAAAGGGATAGAATACAAATAGAAATACAAAGAGGTGACAAGTCTAAGATATTAGATGTTAAGATAAGAAGGGAAGAGTGCATGATCAGTGCTTTTTACCACACTGTTCTACTTGAGGTATGGTTTAAGGGTTAAGATGTAGTTTTGCACTCTATACCCTTAATATTCTTGTAAACAATCAAGCCTGTTTCAAACCTCACAATTGCTGTGCAGCCCTACCGTATAATGTTTTAGTTTAAATTTGACAGGTATACGGCTCTTACTTGGCTGGCCAGTGTTAGGTTTATGGTCAACACTTAAGACCATCTTTAGATCAATACTTTAGATTAACATTAGTTTGTGAAAAGACGATGCCTTGAACTTTCATATTACTTGATTCCACATTAATATGGAGCTTGCAAAGAAAAGCGTCTGGACTTTGTGACTGTTTGGTCTCTCCAATGTAGAGGTCTGGGCCTCTACATTGGAGAGACCAAACAGCCACTTCACAGGCGCATGGCACAACACAGAAGAGCCACCTCCACAGGACAAGACTCAGCAGTCCATCTGCATCTTAAGGATAAAGGACACTCTTTCGAGGATGCCAATGTTCACATTTTGGACAGAGGGGACAGATGGTTTGAAAGAGGAGTGAAAGAAGCCATCTATGTCCACTGTGAGCGACCATCTTTGAACAGAGGCGGGGGTTTACGACACCAACTCTCTGCCATCTATAATCCAGTTTTGAGATCCCTTCCCAGACGCCTTAACGCCCACTCACATCCTGGGCCATCTGATCTCAGGAATTCGCATGATAAGGTGGGGCCAGGTTTCACAATGAACTCACCCAAAACTCTGGCTGATTGGGACCCACGCCCAGTTTCACACCTTGGCTCAAGCGATTAGAGGATCATCAGGGGGTCCTTTTGTCCCTCTGTGGGGGGAAACTCCCACTAGGTTTATATCTGGGACTCTCCACCATTTGAACTTAGAACTGAAGAAGCTTCTCGGATGAGAGGTGAAACGTCTTCAAGCAACTCAAAGAAGTCCAGACGCTTTTCTTTGCAAGCTCCTTTGACTACGATGACCTGGATGACTGAGAACCTTAACAGACATTAATATGCGTAAATAATTATTTTCATATGTTGAATTAAGTCTGTCTTAATGCTTCTTAGAGTTTAGCTATTATAAGGTGTGATCAGTGTTTCAGCAACCAGCTGGGGATTTTCATCCAACTCTTTAACTAACTAGACTGAAACTCAATCAATACATTTCTGCTTTGCAATTTGCCTGGCTTATTGTCACTTATCCTGATGTGCAGCACTCTCTCTTCCTCCTATCCTATGTTAACTTCCTTCTTCACTCCCTACTGCCCTTATGGTGATCAAGGAAAGTGTTCCCCCTAGGCCTCCCCTTCCCAAATCCTATTACCCATTGGATCCCTCCTATACCTTTCCTCCCTCCATCCCTCCCCTGCCTTTTGACAGCACGACCTGGCCACACAGCTTCGGCATCGATGTTGATTACCTTGGTGGTGAAGATTCTGACTTCAGAAAGGTAATTGGGTATTTCTGCTGGTATACTCTCTTTCATTAGAGAAAGAAATAAAATGTGAACCAACCTTGGTGCATCACATTTGTAGAAGTCATGTGTACTTGAAGAGGACATTTTGATCAGCACTGTCACTTCAGTTGGCAGCTGGTCAGCTGTACAGTAAAGGTATAGTACTGTTAAAGAATGGGTTACTGCAATTCCTTTAAAATAAGAAGACTTTTTCAACCATAGTGTGATTGCATCATTGGGGATTCTTCAGGTGTACCAGCTGTTTCTTCCATTACAAGGCATTATCTAATGCATTCTTGAGTTTTTTGAACAGTATTAGAATCGTTCACTACCTTCAGGTTCAGTGCTGACAAAATAAAAACATCTCTGCATTCCAGCCCAAGTTTGGAGAATCGAACAATATCAGTGATGTTCAGGAGCAGGCCCAGGACAGGCAGTCCGCCATGAATAAAGGTACAACAGTTTAATATCAAGATTTAAAAATGGCAATAACAATGACAACAATAACTTGGGTATGCAGAACCCAGAGATACATTCTTTAAGGCGCTTATAATAGCAAGTTAAAGATAAAAATTCAGTATTCTGTCTTTTGACGTCTGATTGCATGAATTAATCAAGTGACACTTTAAAGACTGACTCATAGTGTTATGTTTGAGAATACAAACATGTTTTTTTTGGCCTGTACTTATAAGTGTATTTATTTTTTCACATGCACAGTTGGCATTGTTCCTCCTAGAACCAAATCCCCCACTGATGAATCACAGAGGAACTTTACTGAAGTTCATCGCCGTAACAGCAGAGTGCTTAATGGAGTCTCCAGGGTATGTCAACCCACTCTGGTTAGGAGAGAAAAAATATAAGCCTTAATAAACAACAAACAATAATAAACAATGAACAGGTCAGTGGAACTGAGAAACATGTGAAATGGGTCATATTCACAACATTAGACATGAATGCACATAAGAGGTTGTAATGTGGGTTGTACTCAGTGGTTGAGAGGAGCGGTGGAAACACTTAGCAAGACAGTCAGAAAAACTCATGACCACACTGGCACTGGGAATTCCACAGTGCTTGTATTTTAATGCACACTCAACCTTACAAAGACCCATTGAACAGCTACTAATTATCATACATGAAGCACAGTGTTCCTACAACCCGTTGCAAAAAGTTAAAGAGGTCCGAGTCCATAAACTCACTTGCAAGCAAGTGGATCTCATACTCCAAAGTGGGCAGTGGTGCATACTTATGACATCTCTAACCCATACATTGTCTTAAAGAGACACCACACCACTGCAACTGTTACAAGGTTGATATTCATTTTAGCGCTGTCAGCGTTAATCTCGTTAAAATGACGTTAATGCCATAACCGCCATAACCACAAATCTCCACCGCGTTAATGCGGTAATGGCGTTAACGTCATTTTAACGAGATTATCACTGACAGCATTAATTTATTTATAATCCATTTTATTATATTTTTATATGAGAGAAATTATCTCTAAAAATAAGCCTGTTCTCTGTCATAGGAGCGCCCAAAAAGTGCTGCTTTTCCCACAGAAATTAAGATGAAGATGAGTGTGGAGGAACAAAATGAGCGACTTCGTCGCAACCAGTGCAGTTCTATGAGGGACAAAAGGAGAAGCCTAAACCTGTCAGGAGGCCAGTCTCCAGCCAATTACAAAGTGGTATGAGCAAGCTAATGGTGATCCTTGTCATGTATTTAATTGTAGTATTGTCACAGTGAGCTGGTAAAGTAAAAAATGAATCATGTATGTGTTTATTTTTCAGATGATAGTCATAGCTGCATAGCTCCATAGCAGTACATGTGTGAAAGAACTTTCACACATGTACTGCAGCTTGAAATTTTTCGCAATATCACACATTTCCCAGATTTCCCAAATTGTTGCTGTCATACCTGCCTACCCCAGTACAAAGCTTTGTAATTTCCATGTGAGCCCATCTGAGAAAGTTGTGGTCTAGCAAATTCACTTGGGTACAATAGCTAGACATAACCCATGTAAACACCAAGTAGTTACAACTTATCTGAAATGGACCTTCTCCTGTTGTGTGAATGTGATTCTCCAACACCGTCAGTTCATGTGTAAAAATGACAGAATGATAGAGATCAATTTACACTGATCACGCTGGGGTGGCTGTAGCTCAGAAGGTAGAGAAGGTCATCTGCTAATTGGAAGGTTGGTTGGTCGATTCCTGCCTGCTCCAGTCTGTATGCTAAATTTTCCAAGATACTAACCCCAAGTTGCTCTCCAGTGCGTCCATTGGAGTATGAATGTGTGTGAATGCTAGATAGAAAGCACTTGCATAGAAAAAGTGCTTGTGGGAACGAGGCAAATTCTGTAAAGTGCTTTGAGCACTCAGATATGGTAGGAAAGTAAAAACCAGTCCATGTACCATGCGTATTGTCCACCTGTTTGCATTTCTGGTACTTCCAGGTGGGTAAGATAATCCACTGAAAAACATTGCCAATATTTACAAATATAAAACCAGTGATTGAGATAGGCCAAAGTTGTATGACTAGGGTATACGCATTTTAGCTAGCTGATGATTTGATTGTATCTGCCTGTGTGTCCTATCTAGTTTGTGTTTGTATTCACAGGTCCGTAGGCGGCTGACAGCTCATGAGATTGACATCAAAGACTTAGAGAAGGCAGTTCGAGGACAGGGGCAAGAGTCACCAGAGGAAGAAATTGCTCGTCTGAGACGTTTACAGATTGAACCAGAGCATTACAACATCAGCAAAGAGGTGAAATAAGTTGAATCATTTATTAACTTTGTGGCTATTTTAAGGCAGGTATGTTCACAATAGAATCATAATAGCTTACCTTTGTGTCCAAAATCATAAAAGACAAAGATAAAAGAGATTTTTTCTTTCTTGTTATAAAAGATGGCTCCTGACAAGGTTCTGATCCCTGAACGCTACCTGGATGTGGAGAATAACACTCTCTTGAGCCCAGAGGAGCAGAAGGAGAAGCAGAAGAAGCTAGAACGAATCAAGACCCTTATTGCCAAATCAAAGTACAGTTTTAACTTCCTTTAAATTTCTAGCAAAAGTCTGTTTATTTAAAGCTGTACACATTTTTAAATTTGTAACATCTTTTACCTCTTCATTTATAATAAAAGGAGATGATATTCAAAAGAGAACTGTGGTTAGAAAAACAAATTTGTTGTCACGAGTTGCTGAGTGGCAGGCAGGATATCGGACCCAAAAGCAGACTTCACAGAGGCAAAAATGCAAACTCAAAAAGCAGCTTTATTGCTGACTCAAGGGAAAAAACATACAATACTACACTGGGATAATATAAACAAAAGTCACGGAGAATCACAGAGTGAAACGCACACAGCATGAGGGAGATGTGGACACAATACAGAGAAAGATAACAAGTGACGTGGGAGCACACGGGGAACACAGCTGAGACAAATAATCATAACGAGACAGGCAGGAGCAAACACAACATGATGTACACTGACGGGAGACTATCAAAGTAAAACAGGAAGTACACAGAGGGGGAGAGAGAACACAGAGGAGCATGGGGGAGAGCACAGACTGGGCTGGGGAAACATGATGAAATAAAACACAACCAGTGTTGGGGAGTCACAGAGTACATGTACCGGCATTATGTATTTAAAATACAAAATATGGGTAACTGTATTCCGTTACAGTTACCATTTAAAAAGGTGGTATTTAGAATACAGTTACGTTGTTGAAATAAATGTATTACACAGCGATCTTTTACTGTTTCATATGTTAGGCTATGCTCTCTCTATTTTTGGTAATTCCACGCCGGTGGAAACCCAATCAAAACACACATCAAGAGGCTCTAAAGCCTGTGTCTCAATCCCACGGCCTATGACAGCTCTACTTGCGGTCCGCATAATGACATAAAGAAATATTTTTAAAAATTATTGTTCAAAAAATTATTTAATTTGAAGGCAATAGGCAGAGTGTGACAGGCATAGCCCTGAAGAATGTAGCCTCATGGGCAGTGTAGCCCAGTTGTAAGTAAGCTATTAAGACTCGACTGTACGCTGTGTTCGTGTTTTCCTCCGAAACAATAAGCTCCGTTGAAGCAGCCTTTCTACGCCTCTCTCTGTCTCTCGCTAGCAAAGTGACCCAGAGAACAAAGTAAAGCTAGTTTTTGGCTAAGAGCCTGACACAAACCCGATGTATTAGCCAGAGGTCCCTTTAATATGGTTGGGAGCCGCGGACCTATTTTATATACGCGTGTAACAGAACGTAACGTAACAGAATACCTTACAAAATACATTTTAGGGCATGCAATCTGTAATCTGTAGTGGAATACATTTTAAAAGTAACCTTCCCAACACTGAACACAAGGAGGGGAAACAAGGGTCAAGCACTCACACAATTAAATAAACACCGATGCACAGAGGGAGACACAAAGTACAAAGGTTAACACAGAATAAACTCAGGATACCACAAAGAATCATAAACCATAATACAACAGGTCATAAAAACATAAAATGCTGGGTCAAAAGGACCCAGAACCATGATATTTGTAAGAATAAGGAATACTTTATATACCCCAAAATTTGAAGAATTACTATGTCCCAGGTCTAAAAACATATAAAGCAATGTACCTAAAATAAATACAATATCCATTAAGGAACCCAAACTGACAATACAAAAGCTGAAAAGGGAAACCTTTCAGTTTTAACAGTGTGACTCTTTTACATTGACTCAATTTATCAGACTAGGATTTACTGTATATAATGAAATGAAACTGACACATAACTAAGCATACTTGTCAGTACAAACTGTGAGGGGTGGCAAAATGACAGACTTTCACAAAAAAGAAAACATTCCAGTGAAATTTAAAGTAGTGAAGCAACTTCTTTACTCGAGTAAAAGTGAGAAAGTACAGGCTCTGAAATGTACTCAAAGTAAGAAAGTAAAAAGTAGCTCCTTAATGAACAATTCTGTCAGCTATTTTTGTGCAAACTTAAACTAAACCTTGTGCTAAAATAATAATAATAATAATAATAATAATAATTTTAGTACATGAGAATGTTATTCCAGTCTAAATTCTAATTCTAATGAATGTGACATTACAAAAAAAGCTTTAAATTTGCAGTTTATCAAGTATCACTGAGCAATCGTTTGTCAGGGCTCTGTGTGCGGGCAGGCGGAGAGGAGGATCCAAGCGCAGGACTCGAACACAGAATTGTAAATCAAAACCTCAGCTTTATTGCTGACATGAAAACCAAACGTGAAGTGACGTGAACACAGAAACCAAAAAACACACAGGCATAATCTGAGGGTACGACGCGACACTGGGTTGAGGACAACACAGGGCTAATATACACAGGGTGGTAATCAGGGAATGGGTAACAGAAGGGAGACACAGCTGGGGGAGATCAGGGCTAACGAGACGGGGGAGCTAAGCTGCACACACTAACATAAGACAAAGACTTTCACAATGAGACAGGAAACAAGAAACCACTAAACAAAGATGCAGACACGACACAGAGACAGACTAGACACTGAACAGAAACTGCAATACACATGAGAACGCAAAACCTAAGAACTGATACCTCACCAAGAATAACTGAAAATGCTGGGTCAACACTGACCCAGATCCGTGACATCGTTACCTTTATATAACCTTTCTTAGCCTCTCTTCGTCCTCCACTGTCCTATCCATCTTTCTCCATCTTTGTGTGTAGTTAGCTCTTTTTCTGCATTCTCCCTTAGAAGTTTAGCTAGCAGATCAAACGTGCAACAAACTGCACACAAACAGTTTGTGTGTTTCCTCATATTTGTTGAGCAATTAGAAATGTCCTCCTCCTCAGTAGTATTAACAAGATTCTGAAGTACGGTCCACTCCAGAGTATAAAAGCTATAATATGGCTGTGGTTATCAATGATTTTTCCTCTAAGAAGTTCCTGAAGTCATTACTAGTTAACGTTTAAGGGATGGTTGGCTCAACAGTGCTCTGACTTTTTGTCAGCCTGGCTACAGTGCTGAAGAGAAACCTGGGGTTGTTCTTATTTTCTTCAATCAGTGATGAATAGTAAGATGTTCTGGCTTTGCGGAGGGCTTTCTTATAAAGCAGCAAACTATTTCTCCAGGCTAAATGATGATCCTTTTAAATTAGTAACACCCCATTTCCTGTCCAGTTCATGAATTATCTGCTTTAAGGAATGCATTTGTGAGTTCTCTTTCATAGCATTCGTTTCGTGTCTCACTATGGGAACGCCTCCTGCGTGACCTCATCAGAAGCTCAAATACCATTACGCCAGCCCTTACAAGCTGGCTAGGTGACGCCCATGTCAGGAGGGGCCAGTGCCTCCCTATATAATAGGCTGACATAGCATCAGATGTCATTCAAAAACCTCTTCTCGCTTCTCACAGAAGCCTGTAGACAACTGTGCTATTGGGTGCTAAAGCTAAACTGTCCACAGATTCGAGTGAACAACTCGGTCGCCGGGCGCTTTGTTCCCAGCTTTCAGTTGTCCACTAGCATACAAGCAGTAGCAATACTGTTCTGTGGCTAGTGCGGGTGCCAAGTAGCAATACTTTCACCCAGGGAAGTAGCAATACTTTCCGAAAGCGAAGTAGCAACACTTTGCTAATAAAGGTACCCCTAGCTTCACCATCAGGTAGCAATACCCTTCGACGCTAGCGGTTTTACACATTAGGTAGCAACACTTTTCACCCCATGTTAGCGAGGAATAGCAATATTCTCCGCACTCAGTGTCAGTCTTGCTAACGTGCGCGACCCTCTAGCTAACCATGGCTACGACGGCAAGAAGATTTCTGCCTGGGATACACACCCCGTGTGTGCGGCATGCCTGGGCTTATCTCACGCTCAGGCTGCCTTGACACCTGCACACGACTGTATCCACTGTGCTGCTTTCCCACGCAAACTACTCCGCTGCAGGCTAGCTCGCCAGGCTAACCTGTCGGGCGGCGACCCTTTGCTGTGTGAGGCTGCTGCGGCGCAAGGAGAAACTGAGATGCCCGATGATTTGGCCGCAACGCCAGGGCCGAGCTGGGCAGAGGCAGACCCTCAGCCCATCGCGACCGCTTTCCCGTCGCTGGAGGCACACGGAGATCGTGTGTTTTTCCGCGATGCTGGAGTCACCTGGGGAGGAGATGCTAACGAGGACGGAGATGAGTCGGCTGACTCGGAGTTCCTGCTGTCTGACGACGGCGAGGAGGAAGATTCCACCTCCTTGGCTAGCATCAGCTGGGCTGCAAAGCCCTCGGCTACCGGCGAGGTTGAAAAACCGACACCGCCGTCTCCCCTGGATCTTGACATGCAGGACATGTGCAAGCGCGCAGCCGCTAGGCTCAACATCCCGTGGCCCGCCATTCAAACAGAGGTTGTAAAGTCTCGTTTTGACGGTAAGAAATTGCCGAAGGCGAAAAAGACGGGGAAGCATGTGTTGCCTGTTTTCCCTGAGCTACTCGATGAGATAGCGGTGACGTGGAAAGCAAAACCTTACAGCGAGAAACACCCCATCGTGGGGAGCTCCCTGCTGGATTGTGAGGGGATGGAGTCTATCGGTCTCCGCCGGATGCCACAAGTGGAGCCGTTGGTGGCGAGCCATCTTCACCCGAAGACGTCTCTGTCCTCATCGGCCCCATCTCTCCCCTCCAAAACAGACTGCTTCCAGTCTAGCCTTACAGATAAGTGCTATAAGGCAGCGGCTCTGTCAGTAAGAGCCCACAACGCCTCTTCTATGCTAATGGCTTACCAAGCTGAGCTAGAAGAGGACATGACAGCTAACACAGATACCACAGTGTGGGAAGAAATCTGTGTCATAACTGACCACGTCCTCCGCCTCCACAAGGTAGCCATACAGGCTACTGGGAGAGCCATGGGCCTCATGGTTCTTCAGGAGCGAGCACGCTGGCTCGGGCTCACCAACCTGACGACTAAGGAAAAAGAGGAACTCCTCGACACCCCTGTCGTCCCTCACGGTCTCGTCGGTGTGGCTGTTACATCCATGCAGAAGAGATGTGAGGAGAAAAAGAGAGATGATGAGGCTCTGAAACTCTGCCTGCCGAGGAGGGCCCAGCACGCCACCCCAGCAGCGCCGCGCCAGTCATTCGCGCAGGCAGCGTCTCGCCCGGTCCCGCGGTTTTCGTCCTGGTCGCGGAACACTGGACCAGCTCTTTATCCTCTCAAGGATACTTGAGGGTGCATGGGAGTTTGCCCAACCAGTCTACATGTGTTTTGTGGACTTGGAGAAGGCATTCGACCGTGTCCCTCGGGGTGTCCTGTGGGAGGTGTTGCGGGAGTATGGGGTGTCTGGCCCATTGCTACGGGCCATTCGATCCCTATACAACCGTTGCAAGAGCTTGGTTCGCATTGCCGGCAATAAGTCGGACTCGTTCCCGGTGGGTGATGGGCTCCGCCAGGGCTGCCCTTTGTCTCCGGTTCTGTTCATAATTTTTATGGACAGGATTTCTAGGCGCAGCCAAGTGGCGGAGGGCTTTCGCTTTGGTGGCCTCAGAATCTCATCTCTGATTTTTGCGGATGATGTGGTTCTGTTGGCTTCATCGGGTGAGGGCCTCCAGCTCGCACTGGAACGGTTCGCAGCCGAGTGTGAAGCAGCGGGAATGAGGATCAGCACCTCCAAATCTGAGGCCATGGTTCTCAGCCGGAAAAGGGTGGAGTGCCCACTCCGGGTCGGGGATGAGTTCCTGCCCTCAAGTATCTCGGGGTCTTGTTCGCGAGTGATGGGAGAAGGGAGCCGGAGATCGACAGACGGATTGGGGCTGCAGCTGCAGTAATGCGGACGTGCACCGGTCCGTCGTGGTGAGAGCTGAGTGTAAAAGCGAAGCTCTCGATTTAGGTACGGCTAGCGAGCTGTGGGTAGTGACCGAAAGAACGAGATCGCGGATACAAGCGGCAGAAATGAGCTTCCTCCGAAGGGTGGCTGGCCTCTCCCTTAGAGATAGGGTGAGAAGTTCGGCCATCCGGGAGGGGCTCAGAGTAGAGCAGCTGCTGCTCCACATCTAAAGCGAGGTGGTTGCACGACAAGGATGCCTCCTGGGCGCCTCCTGGGTGAGGTGTTCCAGGCATGTCCCACCAGGAGGAGGTCCGAGCAGTCTCTCAGCCAAATTTGTTTGCTTTGAAATGAGAGCTAAAATTTGGTACGGTGTCCTTGAGTGGAATGGACTACAACTTAAGAAAACACCAGCAATAAGAAAAATGGGAAATAGGACGAACGAAAACGGAAATACGATGGTGTTTTACACACTGTAATGTTAATATTCATATTAATAACATTCTGGGAAACATTCAAGAGTTTAAGGTACTACAGAGAGAAAACAAAAATAAATTTAGAAAACTGTCTGTGGACCTCTGACATTTGAGATGGACATGCACAGAATAACTCACTATAATTGTTTTCTTTCTTTATTGTGTTTTTTTTTCTGTCTTTTCAATGTGTATTTTCAGTTGCCCTCTGAGAGAAGGTGTTCACAGCAGCTCCCAGTGGGCTCCACACATACAGCTACTGATGCCTTGTTAGAGCTTATAATGAGCTATAAAAGTGCTCAGCTGTATCTAGCATGCATGTGAATATTACCTGTCTGCACATGCATACGCGCACACACACACACACACACACACACACACACACACACACACACACACACTCACACACACAAACACACACACACACACACACACACACACACACACACACACACACACACACACACACACACACACACACACACAGTGCTCTCCCGCAGGAACAAATAAAGCCATATTGTCCCAGGTCTGATTGCTGTGATAATTAATGTAGCATAGAACCAGAAAAACACACTGAGACCAATTATACCAAAGAGAGTGAAAAGGAGAGGAGGGGATGGAAAGAAAAGAGGAACAGAAGCGAAAGAGAGAATGGAATTAAGTGTGAAAAGAATTTAAAAATATGTGATTAAAGACAGAGGGAAAACAAACTATGCAAAGTTTGTGTCCTGAAAAAAGTTCCACTAGACTTTACTGCACTGCAGGAAAAATATGTGGAATAAATAAAAAAAACGTAAACCTGTCTATTAGCTAAGTAGTAGCATGTAAGCAGCAAGCAGGTGAATTCTGTACATTAACTGAATAAAAACACCTTTGTTCCATCTAATTGCAAAAGAGCTAAAGAAACACCCCAAAACCCCAAACCCTCAGATCTTACCTTTTGCCAATTCTTTGCAGAATATACTTCATTTGAAAAATATACTTCTTCTGTAAAGAACAACTATGATTCCTGTTTATGATGGCAGCAAGTGTACATTAATGATAAAGGTATTCCTTTACCTGCATGATGGTATAAAAAGTGCTAAAACGTAAATCTTGGCAAGGATTA